ATTATTACAATACTTACGTTCGTATCTTGTCATTCTACTGTTTGGATTGATGCCATGGTTTTAATAGAGAAAAAACAATTAGGGTTTTGAGAAATACCGTTAATATATATGGGTTTTGATAATATTTCTAAAAATTATTTGTTGTTTATGTATTTTTTTTGCCAACCGCTACCACCCGCAACTGCAAACGCTTTTGGAAATGAGCTTTTGAAATTCTCCAATTTCGAGCGGTCTAGAATGGTTTAAAACAATTTCTATGATTGGTTTTAAATGCTAGCAACCGTAATCTCAACGTTGTGACTGGTAGCGAGAGAAGCAATCAAGCCCCTTAACTCACGAGATGACTGAGAGGGGCGTATCAAGATCCTAAACCGACACCAACCATCGTTGTCCCACAAACCTAGACCTGCCAACCAAGTACATGTTTTGGGTGTTAAAGTTTCAGGTGATTTTACAAGATGGATGGGAGCTACTTAAATGTAGAGTAACCAATGTTTTAATTTTAACTCTCAACTAACTTTTCAGTAGTAACCAATCTTTTAGAGAAAATTTCAGTTTAGATGCAAGACAGAACATGAAGCAACCAAAACCAAACCAAACAACAATAACCCCACAAAGACAGATACATCGAGAGATTCTATTGATTTGACCCCAATCAAAACCAAACTGTTAACACAACAACAGGCCTTGACATACTTCAGTGACTCCTATTAGTAATCGCATAATGGCGGAATGGCGTTTTCTAATGCAATTATGCAAAAAATTTGTCAATCAAGGAAATCTTTATAATCGCATTAACAACGCAAAAACGCAAGATTTGCGTTTTCGCCTAAAAAGTAGAAGTAAAAATTCATTATAGAAATAAATGGGTATATAGTTGCTTATTAACATAATGAGTTTTTATTATTTTACCCATACAAAATATTTGCAATAAGAAAACAATTTTTTTATACTATATTTGGATAATATTAAAAAAAAATTCACAACGTTTTAACAATTTTTAATATTTATATATTTTATTATCAAATATTACTTAAAATTTTATTGGTGTATTCAAAATATTCATATTATATGGCTAATAAAATATTCTAATATTAAATGAAATGAGAAAATTATAAAAATATTTCTAAATGCATAATAATAAATATAAGTGAAAATAAATTATAAGTTTAAAACATAATATTGTTTCACATACATATACGTAAAACTGTAAAAGTAAAGTTCATGACTCCATACTTAATACGAAAAAGCTTATTGATTTTTTTTACTAAAAAAAAGAGCTTATTATAATTTTCTTGGTAAAGTAAGCATCTTTCAATCTTGTTCAAAGGTTCTCTGAAAACTTCATCTTTTACTTTATCTTTTCAAAACATATTTCTTTTTATCCTTTTACAAGCAAAAAAAAACAAAAGACAAAGAAGAATTATATTTGCTTTACTAGTTGTTGCGGAGAAAGTTTGACTGTCCCATAATAGCTTCTTGTTTTCTTCCCATGACCAATCCATTCTTCAATCGTATATCGTTCTGTATTTAGATCTATATATCTTAGTTTTCTATAATGTAAACAGTCTTAGAACAATGAGAAATAAATTTATAGCTTAACTGATATAAAACAAAATCTGAAAAATCCAATCACATACACGGTTAATTCAACGGGTAAGAAGATAAATTTTCTAGTTATTTGGGATTCGAGTTCTATTATAATTTTTTACCGGGGGAGGGGGGAGATAATCTACACATTTTAGATACACCATGAGATTGAGAAATATGGAAGACTAATTAGTACTTATTTTAAAAGTCCAAAACTTTCTTAATGGATAAAAAACAAGGGAATCTACAATCTATGACCATAGACGACTCGTTATTTAGTTCTCTCTCCACACCACTTTTTGACATTTACTGTATATGTCATAATGACAATCTAATCCCTAATGTATCTCTCTTTCTCTTTCATTTCTCTCTTCGGTTTCTACTGCAATCTAAACCCACAAAAATTCAATAAAAAAATTAAAATGGTTTCAGAAACAAAATTGCAGAGAGCCAAAGCTGGCCGGATAAGCAAATTCGTGAGTTGTGTGGTTGACTTGTGACAATGGTAGTTTTAATTCGGCGAAAACAAAAATCAAGGGAGAAGAATAGATTTTGTCGGTGGAAAACGATCAATGTCACATTCGTCATGGTTCAAGCTGTGTTTAAAAATGATAATGGTCGATTTGATTTTGTGACAGAGAGAACCGGTCGATTTTGGTTGTCCCGACTTCGATTCCATGAAGGTTGAAACCAAGACACAATGGTAGTTTCAAATCTCGGTGGTAATTTCGAAACCCAGCAGAATTGTGGAATGAATAATTTGTTAGCTGGGTTTTGATGAGGTTTATTGAGCAAAAGAGGGAAACTGGTATCATTGGCAGCAACGACCATTGTCTCATTTTTCTGGGTTCGATTTTGTTATATGGGTAACAATTTAATTAGCAACACATACAAAAATGCTAACGTATAAGTTAAACGTGATAACTAAATTATCATTATAAATAAGTATGCTAATATATAAGTTAACGGTTATAATTAATTATTAGAGTAAATAAACAGGTTTTTATATAAATTAGTTGATACCAATCAAATAGTCAACGATTTAATATGATAAATTTGAGCATACGTTGTATAAGTTAGGCATGGGCGTTTGGGTACCCGTTCGGTTCTGGTTCGGTTCCGGTTCGGTTCCGGTTCTTTCGGTTCTAGAGTTTAAGATCCATATAGGAACCAAACAATTTCGGTTCGGTTCCGGTTCCGGTTCTGGTTCTTTCGGTTCTGAAGTTTAGGATCTATTCGGATATTTTTTCGGATATTTTTAGGTATTTTGGATATTTTTGGGTATTTTCGGATATTTTTGAGTATTTTTGGTTATTTTAAGTATTTTTAATGTATTTTCCAAATATTTGTTGGTATTTCGGGTATTTTTGGTTATTCGATCTAAAACTAACTAATATTTTTAGATATAAACTCATATTTCGGGTATTTTTGGGTACCCGAAATATTTCGGTTCGAATCGGTTCCGGTTCCAGTTCTTTCGGTTCTAAAATTTAGGATCCATTTAAGTATTTTAAAATTTCTGTTCGGTTCCGGTTCGGTTCTTTTTGCTTCGGTTCCGGTTCGGTTCTTGTGGTTCGGTTATTTTGGCCAGCTCTAAGTTACATGTTAATATAAATATTATCCATATATCGAATATTTTATCATGTTCATACAAATATTATTCAGATATGTAATATGTTAGCACATTATTATTTTATATTAACATATAATTTATAGCTTATCGCGATACTAAATTATTTAGCATGTGTTATCTGCATATTATCGTGTCGAAATGAACAGTGTCACCCACATATTAACCTTATTTTAATCAGTGGCATTTTAGTAATTAATCCAAAAAAGAATGATATTTTTGGTTTATATTTTCTTTCTCTTTCCTACTTATCTAATTTTCAAATTACCATGGATTTAAATTTAATTATTTGGTCAATTGAGGATTTAAATTAATATAGCCCAAAAAAGAAACATGTAACCTAAGTAAGTGGTAATGCGCTAATGGCTTTCATTGGTATACAAGTTGCCATGTTCGTCTAGGTTAGAGATAAACTCTCATGAATTTATTTAACCATTTCCATTTAACTAGTCAAAATGATGTATGACTTTAGATCCATTAAAAAATTCGACGAGTTAATTATTCGAAAGCTATATATACTTTAAAAAATTAATCGGATAGTAAAAGTTTGGATCACTCCCTAATGATAAAAAAAACGGTAACCTAGATTTTGTGGTACTGTAAACTAGCGATACTATGTTACTAAAACTTGGAATATATTTTTGAAATTATGTGTTACAGAAGAATAAGAGATGATGGTTGGTTCTTCATCTTTTATTTCATAAATAAAAATATTGGAACGATATGATTTGTTGCTCGTGTTAAGCAACTATTTGGTCATACAAGAAGTTTAGAAGAATGTACAAAATTTAAATGTTTATGAGGGATATACTTTTGAGATTTCTATAAAAGTATACAGACAAGTAACTTAGGCACTACACTTGTTTAAGGATTTAATTTCTTCTAATGTGTTGAACCATATTCAAATCATAACTATACAATATAATACCTATATTTAAAATGTTTTGATTTTATATTTTATTTGGTATAAGTAGTATAAAATTTATTTGGATTTATTTTTTATATAAATTGAATTTGGTGAAAAAATATTGGTTGTTGTTGAAATTTGGATTTACTTTGTATTATATAAGCATCATTTGCAAAAGATGTTTTAACAGTCTGATGTATTCTTCAAACTTCATACATGACAACACTACAAGAAAACATGGATTTAGCGACTACAAGAAACGTAACTAAAGAGTCGCTAAACACATAATAACCACTAATTAGCGACTAATAAACGTTGTCGCCGAACACTGCGTCGCTAAAATAAATTGTAGCCTAATAGTCACTAAAATAAATAGCGACTATTCTGCGACAACTATTTGAAGTCGCATGTGCGTCGCGTATGAGTCGCTAAAGTGGCGACGGTTCTGCTACTAATATGTCACTATTTGGCGACTGGTTTGGCGACTAATAGGTGACTGTGGAATCGCCAAAAAGACACTACAAGGCGACTGTTTTATGAATGTTTTAGTGACTGAATGACTATCGTTTTACGACTTATTGGAGGTTTATTTTTGGATTTTGCCTGCTTATTTTGATTCCAATTACGTTTGCATTTACTAATTAAAACCAAACATACAAGTTCACAAGACCAAAACATACAAGTTCTTAATAAACATTAAAACATACAAGTTCACAAGACCAAAAGTACAAGTCCAAAATATCAAGTTCACAAGACATAAATACAAACATACTTGTACCATAAGTACAAGACCAAAAGATCAAGTTCAAGTTTTTGAGTTAAGAGGAGAGAAAGCTAAGTAGCATGAGTAGTACCATCAGCATTAGTAGCAGGAGTTGGATTTGGTTGGACCTCTGAATGATCATCCGCAGCAGGAGTTGATTGGGAATTGAGGAAGGCCAGGAAATTAGGGTCAGTTTCACTCAGGTACTTCTTCACCATCGACAAATGCTTGATCTCAGCTGCTTGTGATGCTGCGACCCGCAATGCCTCTGCTTCACGTGCTGCTTGTAGAGCTGCTTGTTCCTCTATCTTGCGGTTAGCATCCTCAAGCTGTGACTGCAGGGTTGTGAAAGAAGAACTGCTTCCTGCGTACTTGCGCTTCCCGTTGATGTAAACCCCTAAGCTGCCAATTCCAAAGTAATCCCCTCTATCATTTGTGACAGTAGACTGCAAAACAAAGTAAAAACATTAGTGCTTAACAGATAAAAGTAGACTACAGAGCAAAAGACAAGACTACTACCTGAAGAAATATCTCATCATCCTCCTCCTGAGACAGCTCAGACTGACGCGAATTACCATCATCCTGTTCATCATTCTCTTGCAGGGCAGCCAACTTAGCTGCCTTGTTCTTGAGATATGCCTCATGGATTTCCTGCGCCTTCCTATCAACAAATGTCCCATCCTTCTTGGTATGAGTTCTGATGAACACTTCTCCAATAGTAGGAGGTCTTCCCAATTCAACTTCCTGAAATATAGTAACAGAGATGTCAGCAAGTAATAAACAAAACAAGTATTTAAAACAGACATGTAACTTACCATCTCTTGCTCCACTTGTAAAAAGGACTTTGGACCAGAAACATGCTTGTGAGGACCAAGACCATTACGGTCAGACATCCTAGCTGCTGATTGTGGATGTCGGATTCACACACTCAAGTATTTTTGTTAAGTGGGAAAGATTATCCTTGAGGGACAAAAATGAATATATAAAAACTTGTAAATTGATACGAAAATTGCTATATTATTTCTCTCGAGAGAGGAAGATCCCCTTTACATGGCCATCGGCCTCTATATTTATACACCGATAAACGACATTAAAATGAGTAATTAAGCACAATTATTTCTTCTTAAATGTGTCCGTTTTGATTCTTCGGCTTTAATGCTCAACGTTTGAATTTGAGTTGACTCTGATCTTCATGGGCCTCGCCTCTTTCGGCCCAAGTGTCCGCGAACCGACTTACCCGCGTCTTCTACTCCGAACTCGTGTCACAGTGTAGTCACTTCGGATTCTCGAAATGGCGACAACCACTTCGACCGTCCCTTCGGCTCACGGGTCCAATGGGCTTCATCCTTTATGGGCCATTATTTTGATCACGTGGCAATCTTTGGTTGGTCTCGTACTTCTGGTGCGGGATCCGACACCAACAATTAGCCCCCCAAGTTCTTCGAAGTGCTATTCCAGTTCGGAGGACTTTAAATGCTCAAGTGGCCAAAGATTGCGCTCGAGAATCTTTCTGATTTCCCGCCGAAAATCCCATCACTCCTTTAATTTTGGCACTATCCATTTTTAACCGAGTGACATCTGTCATCATTATGACCGTATATTGATTAATTACTATTAAAACGGGAGAAACCTTCCCACTTCCCACACGACTTCCGAGGCGGTTTCATCATTAGCTTGAGGTAACTTCTTTTCACCATTACTCTCTTCTTTTACTTTTGTACTTTAATCAAAACCTCTCTCTTCGTTCCTTCACCAAAACCTTCTTCGCCGGATCCTGAATTTTTCTTTCTTCCCAATGACTTCTGATTCTGATAGACCCGAGTCTCCGTCTTTTGACGAGAGGCGTTCTAGTAACGACGAGTGCACCCGCCCTGGTGACATTGCCGGTCCGCACTATAGGTCCACTTGTACTCTTCAATCCCTCGAGCGATTGAGAGAGCTTTGCCGGATTCCGCCGGAAATTATGGCGGAAGCACAAATAGCTTCTCCCACAGAATCTCCAGAGTACCATCGCGATGGTTACTTCTGTGTGTATGAGATTTATTTCAAGGGTTGCGGGCTGACCTTTCCTCTTCCCGAAGCCCTAATTCTATACCTAGCGGCTCTCGAAATCGCTCTTCCTCAATTAACCCCCAATCTTCTTCGTACTATTCTCGGCATTATAACAATCGCGGCGGAGGCCGGTTACGTTATCGGAGTTGCCGAATTAAATGAGCTTCTAAGCGTGAGAAGCTCGTCGAAGAAAACGGGGTATTTCTCAGCATATCCTAACGCCAACAGGAACATCATTTCGCATCTTCCAAACAAGGATGAAAATTGGCATCATCCTTGGTTCTTGATTAAGAAAACTCCCGCTTCGATTGGAAATCTTGTAGATTTCCTCCCTTCGAAGTGGTCGGCGAAACCTGGTAGAGATTAGGTCGCCCGTATCTTTCCCGGTTGTTTCTTTATCTTTATTAACTAACATCGTTGTTTCATTTCGCAGCTTTCATCGCTTCTAATCTCCCATCTGAAGAGTTCATCGAATTCTTCAAAATAATTCTTGAAGGGGAAATCCTTTGGAATTCCTTCACTCTCGAACGATTCATAGAGGCTAACCACAGACTCAGGATGAGTCCGCCTGGTCATCTTCACCAAATTCCTCCCCCTCCCTCAACTCAGGGAATGTCATCTCGGGCCCTTGCGGCCAAGCGTAAGTTGCTTTCCAAGCCGATGGCTGAGGCTTGCGAGGAGAAGAAAAAGTTTCTCGCGACTTCTATAGACAAGAAGGACTATAGTAGGACCTTGCTGGTCGATGATGGCAGTACCGAGGGAGCCCGATCTGTTGCTTCCTTCAGACTAACTCCCCGTCGCGATCGCCGCGACTCACGTTCTCCTCGGAGGGATCAATCTCCTCGCCGTGATTCACCTCGTCCTCCCCGAGATGATTTTAGCAACGAGCCAATTAAGAACTTGGTTCGCCGGAAGAGATACAAGTCCTCTCGCAGAGATCCTTCCCCGCAGAGGGAAAAGTCAAGGGCCCGGACTGACCGCTCACCTCGGTCATCCCCTCCTTCTGAACCAATGGGTCCTCCACGACCGGTTGACATGTCCTCCTCTTCCCAGCCGGATAGTGGAATGACTGCCCGGAGCGCGTCTCCGAAAAAGGGGGATTCTGAATCTCGAGATGCTCCCTCGAGGCTGAAGCCTGCTCTTGTCCCTCAAGTTAAATCGCTTTCAGGTTTGGTGATTTACACGTACTTTAAACTTTTTGTCTTTATTAAAATTCCAATTTTTTACAACTCTTCCTTCTCCACAGCTATGGAGAAAGAGGGCAGCGTCTTCCGATGCTTCAAGACCCGGTCGGGCTCGATCTTGCCAGACTTCGACAAATGGCGCCCTGCGATTCGTGAACGTTATTTGCTTCACGCGCATCACTCATCTCGGGTTAGTTCCGTTTTCTTTTATTATTATTTTTTTTATTGTATTGCCATTCTGCGAACTGACTCGTCATCCCGGGTTCATGTATGACGCCAGGCTCATAGCGAATTTAACGACATGATCGAACATTACGAAGGGCTGGTCCTTGGACGGGAGAAGGAGATTGACATGTGGAAAAAGAAACTCTCTGCTCTTGAGGCCGAAGTCAGCTCTTCTGCCGGCTCCAAGCACGAGTTGGAGGACAAAGTTGACAATTTAACATCCGAGCTTGCGCAGGTAAAGGGGGAGCTGCAGGGTCAGTACGACCAGAATTTCAAGCTCCAGGAAGAGTTTTCTGGTATTCAAGGTAGGCTTCAAGAGTCCGAATCAAACGCTGATTCCCTGAACAACCAACTCATCGAGCTCAACGCAAAGTACAAGGCGATCGCCAAATTGCGTGATTCCGAGTTGGCGAGGTCGGCATCAAAAGCCAGAAAAGAGGTCAAGGGACGCGGGATGGAGTTGATCCAAGGGGCCATCCGA